TTACTCCCAGGGGAGCTTCCGCCGATGGGATTAACTCCGGGCTCACCTAGATATGTGATTTGACCATCTGAGATAGCCGCAGGTTGGCGGATTAGTACCGGTGGTGGGGTTGAGGGTGAGATGAAAATCCGGACCGCGGCCGATGGCCGCTGATTCGAGTCCGGCCGCGGTCCAGATTTTCATCTCACCTTCAATCGTCACCCAGTATCAGCTAGATGTGCCGAAAGATTCCTTTTACCGTCACATGGCCCGGTTATTCACAGGTCATACGGCATCCCAACTAAACCTGACAGATCATGGGCGTCAAGAAAAACATCTCGAGAAGCGGCTGATTCGTAAATACTCACCACCGTGGTTGTGCATAGAATACCTGAGCTGACGACCGGCATTCGAGGTGACAAGTACACCAGTGACGTCCAACGATGGGGGTGGCCGCCAAGTAAGATGGAGCTAGGCGGGGTTGCAGAAGTGGCAGTCGGGAGGTTGTCACGCCCTTCGCACCTGATGGCTGTGGCCCTACTTAAATCCCCAGGAGTTGTGAATAAAGTGCCAGAACCCTGGTATAAAGTCAGAGCACAACAAGCAGGAATGTTCGCGAGTGTGAAAGCAGACCTAGAGCACTGCAGCAGCGGCAAACAGCGGCTACTCCCCGTGCTCAAGTCGCTGTCAGCCTGCATCGATAACCTGAGGGTCATATCGGCTGCCTCCGCCCAGCTCCTACCGCACGAACCCGCCTGGGAAAGACAACTGGACCGGTTCTATTGGAACTGGTCAGTCATTAAAAGCCCTCAGCATATGCAAATCCATGCTACTAGTTAACTCAGAACATCTTATGCTACGAGAGGCGCTTGCACGTGCCTTTACAGCAAGGTGAGAGGACTCAGAAGTAAAATACCGGAGCTCCCATTCTCTGTTCCGACCTTGTTCCAAAAATTACAATCCCGACGGAAACACCGTTATCACCGGACGTCAGCGACATCGAAGTCAAAATGGATAATAATAACGATATTTTACTCCTGAATTTACAGGTGCATATCATTTTTACGGATACGATTATAACAGTTAGTGGTGTAAAGTCTCCGGTAATATTTTCTTTTACAAAAAAATTTATGCCCTCTCTTCATTCCAGGTAGTGGAAATCCCCGGTCTGAAGAAAAAGGAAAACTTGTTTGTTCATGCTAAATTGGACATGTGTCCACAGTAGCCGCCATGTCACTCTGCCTGTGCTCTGATGTGCTCTTTTCAGGAGGAGTAGGAGACATAAGGACGGGGGGACTTCAATCTACATGAACAGCTGTTTGAAGAGTGAACAAACTACTGACACCATTGACGGGCACCCGGACCCAATCTGGCGTCACTTCGCTGTCAAAATCACTGAGTTTTCGGTTGTAGGAGTCTATAGGTCCCAAATAGCAACGTGGACGCAACCAAAAGTTGCTCCAATTAATAAACGAAACGTTTGCCATGGAGCATGACCAGATCCTAATAACTGGTGTCTTCAGCGCCCCAACCCTCATCCTGGAGCAAAGCAGCACTACTTCGAGCCAGAAGTTTGATCTTAGCCTTCCAGACACCATCAAAATGGCTAGGCTATACGAAAAGATTGCAGCGATACTGGTAAAGGGTCAGAAAGCACACAATCTAAACTGGGTAACCTGCTGACTGGTTAAAAACATCCAGGTACAAAGTCCTCTCGAAAGCAGTTATCATGCTATGGTAGCGTTCGACCAGATAATCAAAGAATAATTGTCGTGGCAGGGATCTCGCTTTCGCCTCTGTTACAGCAAGGCAAACCACGCGGGAATGAATCAGTACCTGTGGATAGTTCCATTGCCAGTAGACTGGCGCTCCTTATCGGCGGCCAGTACTGCGGACCAGTAAGATACGTATACACAGCTCTGTGAAATCGACGCAACACCTGGGTATAGGGAGACAGGAGGTCTTCCCAGCTCACCTTGTCAAAAGGCTTGAGGCAGACCTCAAAAACCCACACCAGTTCATGACGAAGAGAAAATCTACTAGCCAACGAGCACGCGTCATAAAAAGTAGAAACGGAGTAAACCCCTCAGGACAGGATCTACCAAACTGTTGGGCACCACATTTTGACACAGCTTAACATTCCATCATGAATGCATGCATGCCCACCGCACGAACAGCCTTCAACGTTATCTGACACAACCGCGTTGCATGAAGTACAGATGAATATGCTGTTGTTCTCGGTTGGCCATCAAAGCTAATTGCAAGAAACTCCCCAAGATACAACGGCGTTTGCCCATCTTTGTTGAAACAGTGTGGGGGTACCGTGAGTGGTCCACTCTGCAATATTTTCCAACACTCCGTAGATGAACAAAGACTTTAAGGGAGTGAAGACGAGCCATCCTTTCTTCTATCTTTAAAGAAGAGGACGGGCAGGACCCGAACTGCTACAATATAAAGAAAAAACGGTTTGAGAATCCCCCTGAGCAATCTACTTGATGGTACTGATATTGACTTGAATGTTTCCACCCTCAATGCGGACACTGTGCTTTTGGCCCTGCCAGTGTAGTATTATTTTGTCATTTGCCTGTCTTCCTGACTATACACCCATTATCTGTCCTTCTCTTGATGGAGAATTTGCCTCAGTGCTTCACTTCGTCGCTGTACGATGCCGTAGTGTTGACAACAGAGCGTTATATCACAGCCCCCGACATTTTGTTTTGGCTCAAATTAAGGTTGCGCTGTGATTTGGCTATCTGTCTTTTGACTGTCAACCGAGAACGTTTATTAACTGATTTGAGTCTTGTAGATAGTCTTGATCCTATTTTTGGGGAATGCTCTTATTGGTTTTAGGTACTTAACAAATGTAATTGGTTTACCGAACTCTCGCTGTATAGTATGTGTTCATACAGGAGAGTGTTTTGGACGATACAGCTGCCCAGTGGCCCTATTGAGGCATTTTTATATGTATCTTGTTGTTGTTTGACGGTACCGCAGATTTACTACAAATCTATCACAGCTTCGTTGTAGATCGTGTTATGATGTTTTAAAACAACCTTCGACTGCGCGTGGCTCACGGAAGTTCGGAACTGTACTTCAGAGTTCAGAAACTTGTCTAGATAGAGCTTGTCCGGTCCCATTGAATTGCTTCCCTCCTTCAGATAGAAATATTGAATTTTGGTCGTAAAAAATGACCCATAGCACTTTTACGGGAGTATCAAAAGCTATGAAAAGTGTGGTAGACAGCCGCATCAGGGAATATGTGGACGCGAAGCAAGTACTCAGTGACGCTCAACATGGCTTCCGAGGGGGCAAGTCCAGTGCCTCCAACCTCCCGATGGCCCGCGATCACTCGACAGCATCCTGATATCTCAAGGTCCCGGTCCAAACGACTTTCCTGGATTTCGTCAAACCCCTAGACACGGTCTCACACACCATCCTAATACACGAAATAGCTGGGTAAGGTATCTGCAGCCAGGTGTTATCGTGGCTGCAGAACTACTCAGACAGTATAGAGTTCTGCATAAAAGTCAACAGAGCCTACCCAGCTCGTAGATCGCCATCATATTGTGTATGACAAAGTAATCCCGGGTCCATTGTTGCTCCTGCTGTTCGTGAACGACCTCCCGCTACATATCACCTCTCCGACTCTCCTCTACGCTGATGACGCCAACTTATGGAAGACAACAACTGCGAAGCAGAATCGAGTGCATTACAGAAGGACCTCAGAACACTAGAGGAATGGGTGACAAATAACGGACTGGCTTCTAACCTGGATGAGTGACGGTTCATGTTTTTCCCCACTCCTTATCCCCAGAAAGTATTCCACTCTCCCTGTGGTTCAGGTCTATCCCATACCACAGTAGAAAAAGACCTGGGTTTAAAGGTGATGGAGAAACTGGAAACCAGTTCCAGCTACCCAGGGGATACCTCAGAAGCATACAGCGTACTGCACTTTGTGCAGGCGACCAGGTGCCCTCACTCGGAACTCTTTCTGAGGCTCTACAAGACCTGCGCGCACCCCTACTTGGAGGTCGCTTCATCATGCCCGAAAAGAGGCACGAACCTCCTGTAAAAGGTATAAAGATGAGCCAAAAAGGGTTTTGCAGGGACGTACCAGAAACCACAGGTGAATAGACTAAAGGACTTGAGCCTATACCCTCTTGGCTACCTAGGGTTACGGGGTGACTTGACAACGGCTTACAAAATGCTGAGCAGGGAATACTTCTTTGCGGCCATTAAGGTGATCCTCCTAGAAACCCAAAAAGAATTACTTACCGAATGCCAAGACTTCGTGTGCGCTCACACTTCTCCTCCCTCCGAGTCTGCGGGCACTGGAATGCATTACCAGCAGAGGTACTCTCCGCGCCATCTGTTGAAAGCCTCAAAAAGGCTGAACAGTCGTGCACAGACCGATTTTTCACCCACATATAACTGGAACACGAGCTAAACAGAAGAGATCAACTGATGTCACGCAATTCCAACTACCTTACCTCTATAGCCAGTTTTCTTTCTACCTTAAACATTTGAGCCATTTTCATCCTTACACTTGCCATGAATCAGCCTAACCTACCTACCGGAGTTCTTCATATCTTTGTACTTCTTTTCTCCCACTTGGGTGTAAGTAGATTACTGCATTAGTTCACTTCTCTTTTCCCTTTTACTCACACAAATTTTCTTTTCTAGGTTTTCTTTTCAGTACCCCTAACCCCTCTAAAGACCAGTCCAAACAACTGTCTTGGAACTCGATATCTAAAGAAGCCAACTGTACCACAGACCAAGGCGAACTAACCAACACAACCTCCTGTTCTGTATACAGAGCTATAGCAGACGAGTGGGTGGATCTGTTGCATCGGAATCAGCCAAAGACCTGAAATCGATCCGCGAGACAAAGAGAGCAAGGAGAAATCAACTGGTTTACACAAGCTCGTTAAGGAGATATTGGGTAGATTGGAAGCAAAAACTGAGTATTGAATATTGGTTCTAGACGTTGTTGCCATAGTATCAAATACCCGCTTAAGACAATGTCTCAGGTGTGTTTATCATCATTTATCCAACTGAGCCTAATTAGAACCAGCCGGATGGATGTGAGTGCGTGAAGGTGCTTGTCAGATGTAGGCCACTGAATAAGAAGGAAGTTGAGGCAGGTCATGAGAGGTTAGACTTCTTTTAACTTCAAATGTAGATATTATTTTAGGTGTGTGTTTGTTGATACATCAAACGCAACCATTGAAGTGCGTAATCCAAGAGGAAAGCCTGAAGATGCTCCTCGTCGGTTCACGTTCGACTCAGTGTACGATGAAAAGTAAGGAATCTTACTATTACAATTTTTCCAAGTTCAACTCAGAGGGATCTGTATGACGAAAGTTTTCGGGATTTGATTGACAGTGTTCTAGAAGGTTTTAATGGTACCATTTTCGCTTATGGACAGACTGGGACCGGAAAAACATTTACTATTCAGGGTAGGGATTAATTACCGACTGTGATATTTTTTGAGGAGTTGAAGATGATCCAGAACTTCGTGGTGTGATGCCTAACTCTTTTGATCACATATTCGATCATATATCAAGGTCCAAAGATGCTCAGTACCTCGTGCGCGCCAGTTATTTGGAGATTTATAAGGAAGAAATACGCGATCTGCTTCACCGAGACCAGTCAAAACATTTAGAAATTAAAGAAAAACCTGATAGCGGAATTTACGTGAAGGTAGGCATACTGAAGACAAAGACTGCTGTGATTTGCACTGTGAACTGATTAGCTGCACAGTGATGACCATTTTATTTCTAACGGAGTATTATTTTACTACCTCATGCACTGTCAAGGATTATAGTTAGTTGAACAATATATTTTCTTAAAGTTGTAGTTTGGTACTCTGCTGTCTGTGTGCCTATTTCAAGTGCTATTTTTCTGTGATTCTTTGTTGTTACTCAAGTCCTAGTCTGAAATATGGCTTCCTTAAAGGACAAATCTAACAAACTTCCGATGTTTGTCGATCACTTTGTTGGTAACGCATAAATGCCATAATGAATTCTACTCCAGACTCTGAAAATGTATTAAAAAGTTTTAAATTAGATAACCATATGGTTTCGGTATTACCTCAATCACATTTACTTTCAAACTATAAAGCATCTTTGTGGCAGGCTCCACAAATAAGTTGCTTGGATGGATTTCGTAACAACAATGAAGTGATTTAACTGTTCCAAACAGCATTTTATTGAACAGATATACCATCGATGTCAGTGAGATTTTATCATTCGGTTCCCGCACCACAGTTCATGATATCTCTTTGTGATCCGTGCACGGATATGTTATATTTGAACACATTAGTTGATTACCTTCTGAAAACCACGCCTCTAGATGTTCTGTTTCAGAGTTTAAGTTTCTTTTCACCGTCATTTTTAAATTTTTGCAGTAAAAAATAGCTCTGCTGTTCACCTATATACTGATTTGTTTGGTCACGCATCACTGTGTTTCTTTTAAGACCTTGCTTGTTTACTTGAAAAGAAGGTCAAGAAACTGGCTAGAAATCCATAATTTAAACACATCAAGCTTGTTCAGGAGACGTCTTTCATTTTGGAAGTGAGACATGAAGCTACAAAACATTCGTAAAACTATTCTGAGTATATCTCCTGCTATTTTTCTTCTTACACTCACAAAGGGGTTATAATGCAGTGTCTTCATAGATGGAGTAGTTTTCAGGCTCATGACCAACTAGTTGAACATTGGTTGTCTAAATAAGTATTGTTATGAGTTCGAGAATTTTGTTCATCATCGAATAGTCCATTTTTGATCCCATCCCAGTCGCCACTGTTATGGGTTCGACGCGCTAATGGTATATGTATATATTCCGAAAAGAATATAATACGCGCGCTTAGCTGACAGCTAACTTGGTACGCAAGAGACACTGGCTGCAACCCCGGGACGAATAGAGAGAAGACAGAAGCTGGCAGATGGGAGAGTGTATTACTCCGAGAATATAATATAATAACAATGAATCAATCCAAAACACGTGAATAAGTATACACATGAAAACTGACTTTGCCCGCAATTGGAGAAGTTCGTATAGTAAGAGTAAAAGTTAACCAATCAGCGAATTACATTACAATGGAGGCAGAAAATAGACTATTGGTCATACCGCCAAAACAATGTGGGAATGACACGTTAAAATGTTCAGATCAGTAACAATGTTTTATACAAAACCGAGGCATCACAACAAGTATGCCACAGCTTTTCATTGAAAACTATGATAACATAAGAAAATCAGGATGGAAGACTCTTAACAACAAAGTGCCCTGGTTTTGCCGAAAGTGTTTTTTATTGCCTGTAATTTTAGGTAGGACTAAGTATGATAGCATCAGAAATTATTAAGTATTAAAATAATACTGACAGTGATGAAAACAGAGTGCAGAAATTAATCTGAAAAATGAGGAAACTCAAGGAAACGAAATAAAACAAAACTGAGTGAAATTAAGTCAAAGTAATGACAAGAACTTTATGTGCTTCATTTGCATACAAAATTAAGGCTATAGTTCATTAATCACTAAGGTTTCTGTTACTTTTGAAAGTTGTTCCCTAAGGAAACGTGAAATATTTGAGAGAGCGTGACGAAAAATTTTCAAATCACGGTTTAGGTAAGTTAAATGGTCGGAATCGATCAAGTATTCAAGAACAAAACTCTTAATGCATTTCTTTTCACCATATAAAATCAGCCACAGTTATGCTGCCATATATGTATTGACAGCAATCTATGTCTACGGCTGATGTACCTTGCTCAAGTCTGGTTTTTGTTTAAGACGATGAATAGGCGAAAGTATTTCCGTCTGTTACGATTTACCGAGATGGTAAGCATCAGGAGACTTAAACCAAATATATGTTCCTAAATCTATATGCTCCAAATCTAAATTTTTCTCTGAACGCTGCTCACCTTGTTCTTTAAGCTTTTGAAACTTGGTAAGAGTATACTCGATTATTGTAATGTATAAATTTTGATATTATTTAGGTTATGAGTTGTTAAGAAGAGTCCTTGAGATCATAAAAGTGGGCTGGTGTTATTCTGCTAGGCTTACTGTGTATGTGCTGTTCAAGCTTATGCATGGGAAGAATTCTTTAAACTTTTTAAATGATAGATTGAATTCAGAAACTTTGATTACGAAGGAGTGAAATCCGTTTCCGTAAGCATTAGAATTAAGATATGTTACTTTGAAGGATAGCTTTGACAACCACAAGTTCAATGACCCTTAAAACTTACTGGTTATCATAATCGAAAGACTGTGCATAGCGCTCATATGAAATCGAAAAATTGTTAACCCTCAACGATTTAGAACTTGATAAGCAATTCATATGATGGATTGTCTTATTGTTATTTTGCATAACCTACCTCAATGTGAGTTATTTTTACTGGGATTTGTGCAAACTGTACAAATTTTTTGGTCACTAAATTTATGCTCATATCGAATGGTGGTGATTTGTTCTTTGAGCTTTGATATTTTGTTGTGGATGGTTTATCATCACCAGCAATAAATTCATAAAGAAGTGAAGTGTTACCAAGCCTGATGATTTAATGTTCACAATAGTATGAAAAAGCTAAGAGAGCACTAAACCACCATCTTCCTCATACTGAGCTATAAATCGTCTCCATCATTTTAACATCGAATGCATCCAGCCAATTATTTGATTTTTCATCAATCATAGACAAACAATAATATTCAGCTTCAAATCTATCCTATTTTTGTTTTTGTTTACAGGATCTTTCTTCTGTTCTTACTAAGAATATAAGTGAAATTCAGAAGGTTATGAATATTGGTTACCAAAATCGTGCAGTGGGGTAAGTTTATACTTCAACTCTTTGTTGTATAATAGTATCTATCGTTATCTAGGGCCACAAACATGAATGAACACAGTTCAAGGTCACATGCTATTTTCATTGTAACCATTGAATGCTGTAAGGTAGGATATATTCTTCTTCTTTGTTTCAGTTAGTACAGATTGGTGCAGATAATGAAAATCATATATGCGTTGGTAAATTAAATCTCGTCGACTTAGCAGGTAGTGAACGTCAGTCAAAAACTTTATCAGAGGTATATTCATAATTGTACTTTTGCAATAAAAGTCAATTTTTGTCCTATAATTTTACCTAGTTTATTTTGAATTTTTACTATTAGCCCATTAAAACAAATTATAGAACTCTAAAAAGTAACGTTTCAGTGACAGATATGAATTTAATTACAATTTTTCTCAAAAAAGAAATGGAACGTTGAATTTGATTCTGATACTACAGTGAAGTTGATTGAAGAGTGAGGAATCGTTGAAAGTATGAAACGGGATTTTGTTGCTATAGCTTTGGAATCTCCATCGTTGATTGGACTAAATTGATTGGCCACTATTGGGCTCCTGTACGGATGCCTTGATATTGCTGGTATTTTCAAATTCGATATTATTGACAGATAGTGGCTAACGTTGGAATCTATGATATGTGTTTCGTGCCATTTAGGACTCGTCAGCTGGATATACATGTCACCCAGTGAGTGATGTTGTTCGCACTAAGACTTGAGTCTGGGAACAATATCACTCACTGAAAGACAGGTATGTCAGGCCTAAGAGCCCGAAACAGGACAAGACATGATTCTTGGATTCTACTGCTAGCCAATATCCATCAATAATATGAAATAGGTTTGTGAGATTCATATTTTCATCACAAACTATGATGAAATTATCATCAATGTATCTTTTGTAGATGTGAGTTTTACTGATTATTGTTGAAAGGTTGGTATTTTCTAAGTCTGCTATAAAGTAATCGGCTAACAGCAGTCTTTCTAGAGAACCTATTGCGATGCAGATATGAATCTTACAAACCTGCTTTATGCCTTCAGCAATCTTTATCCCTTAACCAACTTCACTCTAGAATCAGAATCGAACTCAACATCCTATTTTCTTGATATCTTTTCAACTCCAATGAAAAGATGATAATTCACTTCGTAGATCTGTTTAATTCCTTTTTTTAAACTATATTAACTTTATATTCATCAAAAAAAAGGTAGCTGTTTTCCTTTGCTCTTTTTTTTATAGGGGGAACGTTTAAAAGAAGCCACAAAAATTAATTTAAGTCTTTCTACTCTGGGGAATGTAATCTCTTCTTTAGTGGACGGTAAAAGTACACATATACCCTATCGTGATTCAAAACTTACTCGTTTACTTCAAGGTGATTAATAACTTATGGTTAATAACATGTGGTTAATCATTCTTACGCTTTAAATTGTAGCCATATTAATCCTTTATTAGATTAAAATGGAGAAACATATTAGTACCGGAATGTTTTTTTGGAACTATACTGAATAGTTAGGGTCTTAGAGCACGTTGAATACTTCAAAGTATTACTGTGATAATTTATTTATTTCTTGGAATATCGTAGATGTATTGCAGTATGATATTTAACTACTTTAAACTTCCCTTGTTTTTCACCTAATTTACTTCATCCAGTGATTTATAATTAAATGATAATACTTACAATTCAGATTCAGATTTATTGTTTGACGATAAGAAGCTTGGAGCCTAGATTGATCTTTTTCCAGTAGATTTCTATGCTTGTCCAATCCCCTTTTGAACGAGTCAATTGATGATGCAGACACCACTTCTTCTGCAAGTTGGTTCCAGGCCTTGATTACTTGACTTGAGAACCAGTACTCTGTGGAGACTATGTTCATTCTTTGCTTTTGTGGTCTCCTACTATGTTCTCTGAGATGTTCCCACCTAGTAGGAAAGAAAAGAGAAGATAAATCAGGTCCGAAGTCATTTCTTATAATCCTGTATAGCGTGATTAGATTTCCCCTTCTATCTGCGATGAGATAAAGTGAAGAGATCCAGCTTCTTAGGTCGGTCTTCATAGGTGAGGCCAGCCATCATGAGGATCATATGAGTAGCTGCCCTCTGAACTGTTTCTAGAAGGTCTGCATCACCTTTCAGACGAAGATTTGCCGCCTGTGTTCAGTTTTCTAATTTAGACCTAACTATGGATGGTGAGCATGTCACTATTTATTTGTTGCTTTATGTAGAAAAATATTTTAAAAGCCCCCAAATTACTATAACTCTCGGGGAAACTCATCACCACTCTAAATTAATCGAACTTGCTGTTGAGAGATTTAAATTTCTGTGTTAATCAGTTAGTGATTTGTTCACACTACTGCTAGTTTATTAGTAGTCTAATTATTTGCTTCATAAAGAATAAAAATATTGATTATCAATTGACTTGTATTTGTACTAGGTGATGACTGAAGGTGAAATGAAAATCTGGACCGCGGCTGGAATCGAACCAGTGACCACCGGGTTTCCGGCTTAATGATGTACCAACCGAGCTATGAGGTCCGACTGCTGACCAGATTTTTATTTCACTTCAATCACTAACGGTTTTGCCCGATATTGATAATAAATATGCCGCTTCCCCTCTCTAATTCGTTAGATTTGGATGGGGATGAGAAGTCCTGACTAGGCAGACAGTGTGAATATGATCAAGCTGTAGTAGCCCATCATGAATTCACATGGTAGTCGGGAAAACCCTTGATGATTGAAGTAAAATAAAAATCTAATCTGCAGTCGGATCTGGTATCAGCGGGTTGGAAATCCGGTCGTCCCTAGTTCGAATCTGGCCACAGTCTAAATTTTCATTTCACCTTCAATCATCACCCAGTATAAAGTAAAATATTTTTATTATAACGAAGTTGAAAGTATGTTGGGCAAATTAGTGATGAGTTTGACACCAAATGAGTGAAATGGCCTTTCGGTGCTTGAATCCCCTGGATCTGTCTAGCCAGCACTGGTCATCGATGTGAGTGACCTGGGACTACTCATTTCAGTCAGTAGTATATAACGTACAAAGTTTACAGGTGTTTTTACTATAATATATGTTGGATTTGGTGTGATTTGATTAACCCCTTATTTATTGTATAAAAAGTTATGCGTTTAAAAAGTTCAACAAATCTGTTAGGGACTGAATTATTATTTTCGGAAATCAAACTCATATGATAATATCTAGACGGCCAATTGCTTACTGTTTGTGAAATTGGTGTGCAACTGTATCTTACTGGTTTAGGGGGATGACTTTAAACCTACGGGTCATGATTTCAAATTCCGCTCCACCCACTAAAGTTTAGGGGGCCAACTAGTATCAATAGCCTCCACATAATTGGTGTGGCTCATTGCCTATTGTAGGGATGTGCATTGTTATAAGTCCATAAGTTACAGGTGACATATTTTATCACAAAACATTTGACTTAGAGATTCAGCATTCTATAAATATTCAATGACTTCGAGTCCACTCTACATATTTTTATCAAAACTGAATAATTTTCACCTTGTAAGGTATGAATCTTAGTTGGCGAAATATTTTGTACAGCTTTTATGCTCACTATCTTAACGCTGATTGTCGTGTCCAGTAGACCACCTCATCACGTTTAAGTTTCTCTACTAGTGACTGTGTACTTTTAAAGTACCTGACATGATTATAACTATGACCAGTCATACGGATTATGCTGTATCGCGTTAGATTTTGAAGGTTGTCAGTACATTGAGTGATATATCACTGATCATAATGATAAATTGACTTTGGAAGGGCATATTAAATCTTGTAGATAGCTGGTTATAAATATTCTGTCTGACGACAAGCATCTTTTGCGTTCGTACCTCTCTGCATATATGTTCTCATGGAAGACAACAAGTAAATACATTAAACTTTATGCATATATAACTATACTCTATTTAGCTTGTGTATTGTGTAAAGAAAAACACGTAAGAAACAGTCTTATCAATCAGCTATGTAATAGCGGACGGTTATCACGACACTGCAGTTATTAAGTATTTAAACAACCCTATTATTATTTATAGTATATTGTAAACTAGTATTGTTGTTGATATATTTTAAAAATATTGTACAACAAGTAAATCACCGCAATATTACATACTGATAAATCTGTACTGTAAACAAAATTATACTTTGAATTCAGGCAAATATATACTATATTATTAGCTAACGGAGCTAGACAGAATTATGATAGCCTTAAAGAGATCCGTCCTATGAACTGAATCAAACTGCTGAAACCTTTGATTATCTTGTAATGAAAATAGGAAAATGACTGTTCCACGTTTATATCATCACCCAGAATTATAGTTCAGACAACTTATATATTTATATATCCATCACTTTCTCATGGTTCTGACTATCTGCTCATCTTATTATCCGAATATTACTGCACTGCCTGTGGTTTGCTCATACACACACCTATTTGGTCATCAAGTGAACTGAACGCAAGATGAGATAGTTATTTACAAGGCTTTAACTACCAATGTTTATTTACCTCACCACTGTACATGAGTAAACCAAGAGTAATTGCTAACTATCCTTATATTATATATGATGGTGCTCATATACATATAATGAAGTAAAATTGCATGTCGATAATAGACCATAGTTAATTAAAAATGAAATAATTGATTGAGATCATGCATAATAATTGATTTCATCTGATATGTGATTGTTTCTAAACGATGAATCGTATAGAAATGAGTGAAGTGTCCATTGAAAGTTTCTGAACTGAGCTATACAATTATTATATTATTATTTGTCCCTTGGGTTCATAGTCGAACATACGGATTCAGTAACACGTCGCCACTTCACTCTCTTTTCAATCTGGCTCCACCACTACCAACAAGCTCTCATTTCTTCCTCACACAATCTCCTCCATGTCACCCTCAACTCGGACACCCAACTCATCGCTCCCCTTGAGGGTTCCACTCGACGGCATAACCTGGTCTGCTGCATAATGTCCACAAACCGTCTTATCAGCATATACCCGATCCATCTCACTATCTTCTGTATATTCGTTGGGTGGTGGGTTCTGCTTCGTTGGTTCATTGACAGCCAGCCAGCCAGCCAGCCAGCCAGAGTTCCTTGTTGCTCATTCTCTCTGGTCATCTGATCTGATCTTCAGTATGGAGTGAGCGTAAGTGTCGGCTGTTGATGTATGTCTGTAGTTTGTTGGAAACGCTTTTCGTAACGAACTCTCCAATAATACTACGAAATACAACTCAAGTATAGTTTCTTTTGAAATGAATGATGCATTACCTCCAGTAATGCTTGTTGAAAATTTCTTTTTTAATTTCTTCAGTCCGTTCTAACAAAATTGAAAATATTCTTTACTGATACCTGTTGCATGCAAGATGGCTCTCCTACCTTAGTGGCCTGAGAGATAGCTTTTCAGCCCACGAAGCGATGGGCACTGAGTTCGCGCTTCACTGGTATACAGATACATCCAACTGACGAGTCTCACATAGAACAAAACAAGTATCATGGATTCCACTAGGGGAACCACTACAAAGTAAACTATATAACTAAGTAGAGTATAAGAGGCTTTCAAAGTGTTATCATCTGTAGGATTATATGGATTACACTAGCGACCTTATGTTTCTGATTCTGTTCATTTCTTTGGTTTCAGACTCTTTAGGAGGAAATTCAAAGACAATTATGGTTGCAAATATTGGGCCGGCTACCTATAATTACGAAGAAACCATTAATACACTGAGATATGCTAATCGTGCAAAAAATATTAAAAACAGACCAAAAATAAATGAGGATCCCAAAGATGCTTTGTTGAGAGAATATCAACAAGAAATTGATAGGCTTAAATCATTATTAAGAAGTCGTAATACTTCTTCTATTCCTAAACAGCTTCAAAAACACAATGGAAGACAAAAATCTCAAAGGAAACAAAGTCTAAATGATGGTAGGTTTACTCTTTACACTGTTTACTGTCTGTAAAGCAGATGATACTTTCTTCACTCAGTAGTCAATAATATGTTTGGTTTATGAGTGAAATTTCATCCTCTATTTGTAGTATAGGTTGCTATGGTTCTCTACTTCACTTACTTGGGGAGTTACATGAACGGGTTCTTTGAGATGATGATAATCAGTGTTTGAGGACTGAATCTCAGTGACATTGCTGAGAATTTTTAACAGTGGGACATATGTATTCACTCTGTGACGTCGTCTAGAACTCTCATATTTGCATTGACCTTTATTTCTCACACAACTTTGTCTACTTTGATATCGTTCTTTTTCTGTTCACCTGTTCTTTGTATACTACTCTGAAGTGTGTTCAACTTGAACCGATGAACTTGTATGGAGGTTCTACATCGATTTTGTCTATCTGTTTTTCTTGGTACTGTTCAGAGGTCTTAGTGATAATAGTCTCCTGAAAAGGTTTTATTTTAGCAAAATTCCACCTCCTCATAATTTAGAAATGATGCTTTAACGATGAAAAAAGGAAGTGAAGTTAGAGTTGTTCCTTTAGGTTTCAAAACTATAAAACCGGACTCATTAATTACTAATTCGAAATGATGGAAAAATTTGTATCTCAGGAGGAGGAGGATAGTGGTTCAGTATTCTCTGAGCGTTGATATTTTGTCCTGGATGATTCACCATCACCAGGTTTGCTGACGTCCTCAGCACTAACTTCATGACTTCATAATGTTGTATTTCAACTAGATGAAATCAGCTGTTTATGGCCTCTATTCGATCCTCTAAATTCATCCATTCATAGTGCGCAAACGCTTTTTTCGTCCATATAATTTAAGAAGTAATTTCTACAGACATTCAATATCATATTTTAGGAGGTGAAGTTGATGATAGTTTCGAAAATGAAGAAAGTAATAAAGAAGATGCTTCAATAAGCCTGGAAAGTTATATAAAAGAACAACAAACAAAATTATCAGCAGAAAGGGATGCAATTCTAAATGATCATTCATTGGTTTCAGAAGAAAAGTCTCGTTTACTGAATGAACTGAAGGTGAGCCTGCCTGTGACACTTAAAATCTACAACTGTTCATTTTTCTCTCTGTAATTGATATGGTGGTAATATATAACACATGTTAGGTCAGGACAGTGATTTTACAATGGTACTCATTAGGTTAGAAGAAATGTTCAGTGGTTAGTGGAATTAATTGAGAGAGCATCGCATTTTTCTTTGACTCAAGCCGATGACAGGAGAAACGTGTTCATTGCAATACTGGTTTTTATAACTCGGCATTACAACTCGAGTACGTGTATTTCAGTATAGAGATTTATGGGATTGATTTATTTCAAGGTGATATTCATCACAGACCAAAACAAGCTGGAGAATCATTGAAAACCTGGGAGTGGTGGACAGCTGTTTTGTCCTCGAAACTGCCTACCCATGACCCCACTAGGGATAGAACTGGAGACCTTCATCTCTCATGACGGGTACGTTACCATTGAGTCAGAACCCAGTGGTTTACATCTATCGATTCGCGATAAAGTGCGACCGTCATCCAGTTCTATTATCGAATATTTGTCCTCATACTTGAAATGACTGACCTCAAAAGTCACCGCTTCTCATTAGAACTTCAGGAACTTCATGTTGAAGCATGTCACTAATGAGTTTAGTGTGGATTGATTGATCTCTTGGTAATATTCAACATTTTGCTATTATCTTTGTGCATTCTCGACTAAAATGATTATTTGATATAAAATTATCATAAAATCACCACTTTGTTACTAAATTGAGCATTATGACAAGACAACCTTCTGTAAGCATCATTTTTATTGTGATTTGAAGATAAAATTATCAGGCTTTACTAACAGATGTTTGCTATAGCCTGACAGTATTGCTTAGAACATATTATCAGTAGCATGAAACATTTATTCTTAAATTTCCAGACGCTATCCTTATTCAGTGACGTTATTGTATAATAACTTTACTGACTTCTTAAAACTTAGAAGTTTAGCTTAACTACACTGTTTATTATAGTTAAAGGAAATTAAACTTCAAGAAGAACAAGCGAAAACGCAACAATTAGAGTGTAAATTGAAAGCTATGGAGAGTAAATTACTTCGTGGGGATCAGTCAATTGTAGAGCATACTCGTATACAAGAAATGACTTTGGCTCAGCAAAGAACACAAATGGCTGAACAAAGACGTCGTGAACGTGAAATAGTAGCTCGTATGGAGGAAGAAGAAGGGAGTATGGCTAATTTACAGGAAGGTTTTACATCATTGAAGCAAGAAGTTGAAGTAAATACTAGAAAGTTAAAGAAATTATTTGAAAAATTACAGGTACGTTGAATTTTTACTGTCTATATGCACTAAAGGCGCAACCATCAATTTTTGGTTGGTTTGCACCTAACTTCTGGGTATGTTGTTGCAAGTGGCTATAAAAAAGGCGCATGTTTTCTGATAACTATGAGAATCTAGCAGAGAAAAGAGGAATGTTTCAAATACGTTACAGTGCTTCCCCCTAAAGAGTATATCCCTATCATAGTGCTTTGATGTACCAGTGTAACTTAGAGGTTAGGTGTAGCGTATGAACCTGCTACTGGGTTACATTCATAGGGATGACTGCTGCTGAGTACATGCCAGACTGATCATAGGCTAGTCGAACTCCACCTCCGACATCAAAATGTAAAGACCTGCTCTTGCTGGATTTTTGTCTAGCCGACAGAAAAGTTATCACAAGGGAGTACATACAAAAATGTGAGTTTTACGGCGACCACGAGAATCTGGAAGAGAAAAGATCAGGAGAAAAGCGTGGGTAGACGGTATGTGGATAAGAGCTTGCAGGAATACAGACTTGCAATGATTTTGTGGCTTCTCAGGAGATTTTTCCCTCTTCTTGTAAATACTCTAGCGTTTACACCACAAATGGGTCATCTTTATAATTCAAATCCACTAGAATGTAAGTGCTAGGTTTTCTGTACGATTTATAGTTATCATCTGTTGAGTTCAAGCGCAAAATTAAATTATTGTCTACCACATTTACTGACTGATTTTACGATGGAAACCTCAATGATGCCTTTGAAGTGAAGACAGGAGTAAGACAAGGTTGCCGTCTACTATCACCAATCATCTTTCTGATTGTGGTCGACTGGATCATGCAACAAACTGTGAGGAGCTGTGAGAAGATGGGCCTACGCTGGCTGGACCGATGAAAAGACCTTACATGATTTGGATGTCACCGATGACGATTTATGTCTAACGTCTTGTCACACAAACTTGAAGATCTACAGGCGGAAACTAACAAGTCGACAGAAGAGACAGGGCAACCAATGAAGGCGGCACTTCCTTCAGGTGAACCTAGAGAAGACAGAGGTGATGAAGATACCAAACCAACAACAGCAACAAGCGACAATCAACATCAATGATGGAAATCTGAAGAAAGTTGTCCCTTTCACCTACCTACCTACCTAGGCAGCTTCGTTTCAATTACAGACAGCACAGGCACACGTGAGGATGTCAAAGCCAGCCAGTATCGGAAAGACAGCAAGACTAGCCTTCCTTCATTGATCTGAAATGATCAGTGTGGAGATCTACTGAACTGCACTGCACTGCACTGCACTGCACTGCACTGCACTGCACTCAGCATAAAGCGTGAACAACATCCGGATTTTCAACACCAACATCAGTCAAGTCAGTCAGTGCTCCCATGTGATGGTTGAGAGACTTGGCGCGTTACGAAAAGCATTTTCAACAAACTACAGACATACATCAACAGCCGACACTTACGCTCACTCCATACTGAAGGTCAGATCAGATGAGCAGAGAGAATGAGCAACAAGGAACTCTGGCTGGCTGGCTGGCTGGCTGGCTGGCTGGCTGGCTGGCTGGCTGGCTGGCTGGCTGGCTGGCTGGCTGGCTGGCTGGCTGGCTGGCTGGCTGGCTGGCTGGCTGGCTGGCTGGCTGGCTGGCTGGCTGGCTGGCTGGCTGGCTGGCTGGCTGGCTGGCTGGCTGGCTGGCTGGCTGGCTGTCAATGAACCAACGAAGCAAGAACCCATCACCCAACGAATATACAGAAGATAGTGAGATGGATCGGGTATATGCTGATAAGACGGTTTGTGGACATCACGCAGGAGACCAGGTTATGCCGTCGAGTGGAAGCCAAATGGGAAATGACGAGTTGGGTGTCCGAGTTGAGGGTGACATGGAGGAGATTGTGTGAGGAAGAAATGAGAGCTTGTTGGTAGTGGTGTAGCTAGGTTGAAAGGACTGAGGAGGAGAGAGTGAAGTGGCGACGTGTTACTGAATCCGTATGTTTGACTATGAACTCAAGGGACAAATAATAATAATAATAATAATATTTACAGACAGACAGATAAAATGAATTTAGAACCTTGCATCCAAGTGCATCGGTTCAAGTTACCACACTTCACAGTAGTATAAAAATGAAAAAAAGGATTGATATCAAACTAAGGAAAGCTGAATGACACCTTAAGCAATCTTAAGACATGAGTTAGTGCGAATATTCAAGTTTTAAAAGACATGTAAGGGTGAATACATCTGTGCCATTGTGACTGGTGTTCAGCCATATCACTGAGATTCAGTCCTCAAACATTGATTCCTATCGTCTCGCAAGCCCCAGCCAGGTAGTCTGCATTTCCCCACATGAGTCAGTCCAAGAGTCGGGGACTTCATGGATTGGTCACTCTGAACCCTTTGCATGAAACGTCGAGGTAGGCGGTGGCTTGACATGCGCAGTACATATTCAAGCCAGCTCTGTCGACTAAGGTTCACAACCTCATCAATCAACCTGCCTGTGTTGCTTAATACTCTTCGCCTGACCTGAACATTGCTCACGTGGTGTTTCCATCAAACTGGAGCAATGCAACGAAAACATCTGTGATCAGAACCCTGTAACCGCTTAATCTCTTCTACTCTTAACGGCCATGTATAGCATCGGTGTAACGAGACAGAACGGACTGAAGAGCAATATGCTCGTTCTGTTTTATGTAGTAGGATATTTCACCAGTCGGTGCCACAAATGACGCAAGTAAGCCGAAGCCATGTAGTTCTTCTGTATCCCAGCTGATATTTCGTCAGCAACCAGCCTGTTAGAGCAGAAGCAACTTCCCGAGTAAGTTAGGTGACTGATATATTTCACCACTTAATTCGCTATCATTAAACTGGGAGTAGTTACAGATATGTCCTTAAGCATCGTCCTGCATATGGCAGGTGCAAAACGCTTGCCTAACATACTCAGACTTCTGCTTATATTTGCAGAATCATACAACTCCATACATTCTGTTTCCTCAAGGAACTTGAACAAAGAGGAAAGGGACAAATTTTCAGGATAAAATAACACTCAAATGTCGCTGGCTGGAATCGTGCCGATGGCTGGATTTTCATTACACCTTCAATCATCACCCGGTATCAATACAAGTCTACCAAATCACGGTTATCTCAGATAATCGCGGATACTAATCAGTTACAGACAACCTTAAAGATAAATAGCAGTTTATAGTGATTAGATCGATCATTCTACATCTATAAAAATGTCCTCAAACGAACAAGAATTCAAGGAAATGGAACTGCTGAACAACTGAAAAATAATCTTAAGTCATAAATTGTGATCAAGTCTTATTAGATATTAAGTAAGACAAGAAGTATTTACCCCAAGGTGAAGAAAGGCTGACCTCAGTTTCTTTTCAAACAAAGGTCAGGTTTAAAATGTCTAGTTGGAAAGATTTTATCAAATTGTAAGGGACTTGGCTATTTTCGTTTATTTATTGTCCATAAGTCTTCAGAGATATTCATATGTTGTCCAGTTTTCATCAGATATCTGGATGTTGTACTGTTAGGAAGTTTTAACAAAAAAATTCTTTAGACACACCCGTAATTATTTCAAGTTGTTACTCATCATAGACTGACATCAGTTGGAGGAACAAAGGAAACCTGGGAAAACTGGATAGCTGTTTCGTCCGACTAGTATGGGACTCTTCAGCAGTGCGCACCCACGACCCCACCAGGTATCAAACCCGCGACCTTCAGGCTCCGTGGCCAGGATGTTACCATTGAGCCAGCCACTGGGTTGGAATCCAGTGGTCCATGTTTCAAACTTCTGTTAGCTCATGATATAGTGCAACCGCCACCCAGTGTCATCTTTGAGTAACCGTCCTCACGACCATCAGGATTTGCTCCCACCGGTCACAACTTCTCATTGGAACTTCGGGAATACTTCTCGAAGCTAGTCACCAATGAGCACCAGTTCAATTAAATTTTGAGGGAGTTATGGGGATTTGGAAATATTTCAAGTTGTTATTCATCGTAGACTGACATCAGTTGGCGGAACAAAGGAGGAGTCCCATACTAGTCGGACGATACAGCTGTCCAGTGCTCCCAGGTTTCCTTTGGTCCTCCAAATGATGTCAGTATACAGTGAATAACAACTTGAAATAGTTCTAAATCCCCGCAACTCCACCAATATACTCATAAATGTTAGCAAATGGGCTTCCCTAAGACCTTTCTATATAGTTGCAAATCTTCTCGTTCTCACCTTCTTCAAAATCTTATAACTGTTTTATTTTTTCTAAACTGGATGGTTTAATCGTGAAGCTTTCATTACCATTTCTAGACAACATCATCAACACAAACTTTAGCTGCAAATATTCTTCATCATCTAAGTAATGATTGAATATGAAAGTGATAAAGTCTACATTGGTAGTTGTGTAATATTCATTGAAATACTTATTGTCCTTAGATAAAATTTTCAAAACTACTGAAACCTTTTTCAGTAATATTGGTATAATCATGGAAAAATTTTGAAAATATAAAATTTATAATTATTAGGAAATAAAACAAGAAACTATTGATATGCAAGAAGAACATACTGTTGAACGTCAAGAACATGAAAAAATTCAAGATCAATTAACACGTGAAGTCAAGTTACAGATAATTATCCTAGAAAACTTTATTCCAATACAAGAAAAGTCAAAATTAGAGAAACGAATATTTTTTAATGAAGAAACTGAAAAATGGCAATTAAAACCACTTTTTCAATCTTCTTATGATGATGTAAATGTCAACATTTCATCCTTGTAAGTGATAGTTTTTATTTAAGTTTTCGATTTGAAGTTACAATCTCAATAAAGATAGACAGTTAACGTGGTTTTATGAAAGTATAATTCTTAAGTTTTCTTTAGATATTGAAGAGAGAAGCAGGAACACTAAACTTATCTTAACATGATAAGTTGCTTGTACACGATGATATATGAGGACAAGCAAGTTACATTTTATAAAATAAACAAGAATTTCATAATAATCATAGATAATGGTAGGCAATGGATTCCAGGTTGAAAGTTTTAGACTATTATAAACTCATCAGCTGGATCTATCTACCTCCCAATGGGTGGTATTGTTTCCACCAAGACTTAGACACACACTGGTCGTTTTAAATGCCACACGGCTACCCACTAGGCCAATTAATGACGATAGCCACCTCTATAGTTTTTATATTGTTGCTTGTAATTTTCCATCGTCCATTGAATCTAACTGATCGAGCTGTATTGGCATATAGGAACCTAATAATATAAAACCATTTATGTTCTTATGTGTTGTGTCAATGAAAGACAATTCCGCAAAGAAATTTTTCTTTTCGATAAATTATTTTTGGAAACTATACATATTTGTAGTATGTCCATCAATGGCTAACAAGTCACTACAATGTCAATGGAGTGACGAGATTATTATAGTTAGAAAGTTACCAAAGATTGTTTATAGGATTGGAAGATGATTCCTGAAATGTCATCAGTAGGCGATTACGCAATAATCTTGTTGTGATGCCTAAGTTTTGTGTAAAACATTGTTATTGATCTGAACATTTTAACGTATCATTCCTATACCAATTGCGTACAAGGTCATTTTCATGTATATACTTATTCACGTGTTTTGGATTGATTGTTATTATTTTAAAACGCTGGACGATGAACTTTTTTTTAGTAATAACCCTCCCATCTACCAGCTCTGGTCTTCTCTCTATTCATCCCTGGGTTGCAGTCAGTAGCTCTTACATGCTAAGTTAGCTGTCAGCTAAGCGTGCGTATTATATCGTTCGGTATATATAACCCTTAGCGTTCGAAAGTATAACAAATCTATGAAGTTATAGAACAAGTATGAAAAGTGGAGAGTTCTACTGAAAAGAAACAATAAAAAGGTAGGGAAAAAGGTTGAAAATAATAATAATGTTGACAAATAAAGTAAATGAACAAACAAATAATAAGTAAATAAATGAATAAATAAGAGATTGGATGTACCTCTTCTGAACCTAGAGAATAGGTTTGAAGTGATCAGTTGCTATGACTTCTTCTCTGTTCACCTGGCAAATCCTCATTGCCTTCAGAATGTTTGATTTAACCATATATGTATGGTCTCGAAGGAAGATTTAGGTGGAGAAGAGTCATCATATTTAAATGGAAGATGAAAAATGCAACTGTTAATTGGTTTGCGCTCACCTTTAGACAGCCATGTACAACAGTGTTCAGAGATGAGTTTAGATAGAACATGCTCTGTGCGGCCTGCGTAAGCAGCTTGACAACACCAGGTGAATTCGTAGAAACACATGGATTAGTTATGACTAAAAGAAACAAAAAAAAGTGGTTTAAATAATGTGCTAATTCAATAAATAGGTCAACCTAATTTATGATACTAATCACTCGTCAGCAAGGAGTATCCGCAACCTCAAAGAAAGTGATTTCCCTCATGAGATTTGTACCGAATTCATCCAGTGTGTTAGAGTGAGTGACATCATCAGTGACCTATTCTGGTCGCATTGCAAAATAATCGATAGAATTCGGCAAAAACTCAGGACTAGATAATATTAGAATGGTTGATCTCTTGTGATCAGTCAAGTTTACAGGGTTTTTTGCACTGAACAGTTAAGCCACTGGAAATTAGGGGTTTTTAGTAGTCCTATTTGAACACATCTATTATTATACTGATCAAAATGAGTACTGTATGATTTTTTAAATTGTACTTTGAGGATCCTCCAAGTATAAGAACCTCTTAGGTATTACAGTAGGCATATCATCACGGATAATCATTGCCTGAAATCTGGCAAATCCAGCTGTTAATCGGTGGGTACTTTAACGCATTTTCTGTGGCTTATCGTTTTCTAAAAAAAGGTGTCATTTCATGTTTAGCTATCTGCAAGTCAACCAACACGATGAGAAAAACCCAACTTGAATTTCTTCTGCATCTCAACTGCTGCAGACGGTGTGTTGTAGATATTAAGTGTGACTCAGCGTCTAGTAAAGAAGTTTGTGTACAGTTACATGGCTGTATGCATCACTTAATCACGTAATGAAACCGTACTACTGATATATATATATATATATATATATATATATATATATATATGTGTACAAACTTCTTTACTAGACGCTGAGTCACACTTAATATCTACAACACACCGTCTGCAGCAGTTGAGCACCGATTTAAACGTGTAACGTTGTTCCTTAGAACCTTGAACCACAGGTATGCAACATATATGGAGTACTTAAGTTTAGGGATATTTCCAATATCAAACAATAAGACCTTTTACTTTTGTATTTTGTAAATTAAACTATCATATTTATCTAAAAGAAATTACAATGTTAATCTTTTACTTTAGAACAGGATCTACCAACACTTTTATATACTTTATTGCTGTTGAATGTTGTACGTCTCACGTTTTCATTCTTTTAAAGGGAGTATATTAGTCAGTCACTTAGTGAAGTATTGAGAAATAAAAAAAACATTTGTCGATGTGCACGTATGGATTCGAAACATAATCCCAATCCTAGATTCCGAAGTGAACAACTATTATCCTTGGATATGGATTTACCGGGACGGACTACAAAAGATTATGAACCACCACAGTTGGCACCACAAGTTGTGGCTGCATTGCAAGCTGCCCTACAAGATGAAGAAGATTTGGAATTAGATGGCAGGTAATAATATATCTTACACCTTGTGGTATCATCATCCTTAGCAGTGTCAAAGAGCGAAAATCATTTACTCTTCTACCGTGATTCTTTGTTTATAAGTGTAAGAGATTGTTTGAAAAGCAAACGTTCAGATGTGCTTGACACACATTACTATTATTTTATTATTTGTCCCTTGGATTCATAGTCGAACATACTGCTGCAGTAACACGTCTCCATTACACTCTCTTCTCTCCAATCTATTCAACCTGACTCCACCAATACCCACAAACTCTCATTTCTTCCTCACACAATATCCTCCATGTCACCCTCAACTCCGACATCCGACTCATCGTCGTCGTTTCACATCTGCTTTCCACTCAACCAACTGGACTGGCCTCGCCTGGCCTGACCTGACCTGCTGCGTCATATCCCAAAACCGTCTTCTCAGTACATGCCCAATCCATCTCCACTTCCTTCCAGTGCATATTTGTTGAGTGATAGATTCTTGATTCGTTGGTTCATTGACAACCAGCCAGCCAGCCAGCCAGCCAGCCAGCCAGCCAGCCAGCCAGCCAGCCAGCCAGCCAGCCAGCCAGCCAGCCAGCCAGCCAGCCAGCCAGCCAGCCAGCCAGCCAGCCAGCCAGCCAGCCAGCCAGCCAGCCAGCCAGCCAGCCAGCCAGCCAGCCAGCCAGCCAGCCAGCCAGCCAGCCAGCCAGCCAGCCAGCCAGAGTTCCTTGTTACTCATTCTTCCTGGCAATCCATCTGAGCTTGAGTAACGAGTCGGTGTAGGCAGTTGTTGATGAATATCTGTATTTTTTTGGAAATGCCTTTCGTCTCTCAACCATCAGATGGAAGCACTGACTGACTTGACTGATGTTGGTGTTGAAAATCCAGATGTTGTTGATGCTTCATGCTGAGTGCAGTGCAGTGCAGTGCAGTGCAGTGCAGAAGGTTTCCACACTGATTTCAGGTTGATGAATGCCTGTCTTACTGTCTTTCCGATCCTGGCTTTAACGTCGTGAACTGTCTGTGCCGCTTTGTATTTGAAACAGTGCTGCCTTGCCTAGATGGTTGAGAGAGGCTACTTTCTTCAAGTTTCTCCCATTTGTGGTGATTGGAGCTTCTTGTTGTTGTTGTTGTTGTTGTTGATGGTGGTGGTGGTGTTGGTTGGGTATCTTCATCACCTCTATCTTCTCTACGTTCACTTGAAGTTCCGTCTTCGTTGCACTGCACTGTCTCTTCTGTCAACTTGTTAGTTTTCACCTGTACATCTTCAAGTTTGTGTGACATTAGACACAAGTCATCACTCGCGAAATCAAAATCTTCTTGGATGTTTTCCCCAGTCCAGCTAGTGTATCCCCTCTTCTCGCTCCACACTCTTTCTTGCATGATCCAGTCTAGTCCACTACAATCACGAATATCATGGGTGATAGTAGACAGCCTTGTTTCACTCCTGCTTGTCTTCACTTCGAAGGCGTCAGTGAGCTTCCCATTGTGAATTACTTGTCATGTGGCGTCTTCATATAGTTGTTGAATGAGGTTGATAAAGGTTTTGTGGTATTCCGTATTGTTGAAGCATGGATGAAGTATGGATTTGCTGCATTTATTGTAGATAAGGTACTGACGAGAAGTCAGTCGTTTTAGAATGTATCTATTTTACTAGTTATGAAACCGACTTCTTTAAATATCGGATAGCTTCTACTATATAATGACTGAGAAAATCAAAGCAGAGATTTGGGCACATGTCCATTGTCTCAAGTTTCTACACTTCACAGTAGTACACAGAGAACGGGTGAATAGAAAAAGATTGATATCAAAGAAGATAAAGTAGTGTGAGAGAATAAGCAACCTGAAGAAAAAGGTTAATGCAACTATTCAAGCTTTAGAGAGTGTCATTGAGTGAATGCATCTACTCCATTGTGACTGATTTTTAGCCTTGTTACCAACAGTCAGTCTTCAATGGTTGATTCCTGTTCTCCCGGCGACCCTAGTCAGGATGTCTACAACTTCGTCCCTACTAGACGGAGACCAAAAGTCATGGATTTCATGGATTGATGTCATGTCTTACTCTAGCCATCTGAACACTACCAAACTAATCCAACTTCGCCCAGCATGACACATCGAGGTAGGTTGTGGATTGATATGCACAGCACGTGTTCAAGCCATCTCTGTCAATTAAGGTTCACAACCTCATTTATTGACTTGCCTGCAGTGCTTAATGCCCTTCACCTGACCTCAACAGTGCTCACACAGTGATTCCACTAAAAAGGTGCAGTGTTACGAAGAAATCTATGATACAAACTCTGTAATCACATCTGTGATGATGACTAATGGGAAATTAAATTAACAATGTGCTGTTTATGGTTAAATTAGTCTTATTGAGTGTTGGCTGGAGTGCAGTTGGAAAGTGTTAGTCGACAAGATGTTAGCAAACAATGCTGACAGTCACAGGTTGATATTACATTACGATGCAGCTGATCAGTATCGAGACTGTGTACTTATGTTCTGCGTACCTTAAAATTCTAACTCAACTTATAAACAAACATAATTATCGTATAATTGTTTGTATTATACCGTCGTTGGTTGGATCGAATTCATCGGTCTCTATTGGTATACGGGCTCCTGTGCGGATGCCTCGATATTACGTGTATTCTACATTCAGTTGAATAGTCCCAAATAGCACTGGATTCCGATGCTAACCACTATCCATTATTACTATAATTAGAACTTAAATGTCCTTCATAATCTAATATGATTGTATGTAGGATATCGTAAACAGTTAATTTGACAAGTTAAAATTTTAAAATTGACTCATAAAATTCAGTTACTGTGTCAGATATTTGTGACATAAAGTGATGTTTCCACTTCTCGATGCTACATTCTACTAGTGATCATTTTAAACTATCTGTCAGATATAGTGTTATTGCTTGTATTATACTGTCGTTGATTCGACTGAATTGACCAATCTCTGTTCGCATATAGGCTCCTGTGTGGATGCCTCGATATTGCCTGTCACTCGCTGGTAGGCAGGTACATCCAGCTGACGAGTCCCAAATTGGACGAAATGCCCATCCTCGGTTCCACAGCTAGCCATTGACCATCATTACTATACATAGTTAAAAGACAGGCAATATCGAGGTATCCACACAGGAGCCCATATTCCAATAGAGACCGATCAATTCGGTCCAATCAACGATGGTGTAATACAAGCAATAACACTAAATCTATAACCGTCGCACGAGAAGTAGCTGTTGTGGCTCGGTGGTGTAAAGGATAACGCTCTGGCGTTCGGAGCGATCGCTCGTGAGTCCGAATCCCGGTGGAAGCAACATCACTCACTGAGAACCAGGTGTACCCAGCTGATGAGTCCCAAATACGGCGAGATGGGCATCTTGGATTCCACTGCTAGCCATTGCCCATCATTACTATCTGTCAGACACTTCGTTTTCCGAAGTTCGGCTGTGTGAACAGAATTTTTCCGGGGGTACACTGTTGATGAATTCAACCACAAATTAGCAAAACTACCATACGATGCAAAAATAACTGTAATCTGGTTGGTGAAATATACAGATCAGGTTGAGTACTTTCTAACTACTCAAGTCGTTCAGTAGTGTATTCTATTGTAATCGTTATAGTTATCGAACAGAAATTCATACGGAATATGACACATTATGCAATACCATTGATCAACTTTTGTATAGGCAGGCCTTCAACAGCGTCGATTGAGAGGTAATTTGGAAGTTGCTTCAACAATACGGAATACCACAAAACCTTTATCAACCTCATTCAACAACTATATGAAGACGCCACATGACAAGTAATTCACAATGGGAAGCTCACTGACGCCTTCGAAGTGAAGACAAGCAGGAGTGAAACAAGGCTGTCTACTATCACCCATGATATTCGTGATTGTAGTGGACTAGACTGGATCATGCAAGAAAGAGTGTGGAGCGAGAAGAGGGGATACACTAGCTGGACTGGGGAAAACATCCAAGAAGATTTTGATTTCGCGAGTGATGACTTGTGTCTAATGTCACACAAACTTGAAGATGTACAGGTGAAAACTAACAAGTTGACAGAAGAGACAGTGCAGTGCAACGAAGACGGAACTTCAAGTGAACGTAGAGAAGATAGAGGTGATGAAGATACCCAACCAACACCACCACCACCATCAACAACAACAACAACAACAAGAAGCTCCAATCACCACAAATGGGAGAAACTTGAAGAAAGTAGCCTCTCTCACCTATATAGGAAGACAGGCATTCATTAACCTGAAATCAGTGTGCCTAACTTCTGCACTCAGCATATGGAACAACATCTGGATTTTCAACACCAACGTCAAATCAGTGCTTCTATATAGCTCAGACACTTGGCGCGTTACGAAAGGGATTTCCAACAAACTACAGATATTCATCAACAACTGCTTACACCAACTCGTTACTCAAGCTCAGATGGATTGCCAGAAAGAATAAGCAACAAGGAACTCTGGGAACGAACCAATTAAGAACCTATCGCTCAACAAGTATGCACTGGAAGGAAGTGGAGATGGATTGAGCGTACACTGCAAAGGCTGACTGGGGCCATCGCTTGCCAAGCCAGTTGGTTGAGTGGAAGACAGATGTGAAACGACGACGATGAGTTGGATGTCCGAGTTGAGGGTGACATGAAGGAGATCGTGCAAGGAGGAAATGAGAGCTTGTGGGTTGTCGTGGAGCCAGGTTCAAAAGATTTCAGAGAACAAAGAGCATTGGAGATGTGCTTCTGAAGCCTTATGTTCCATTAGGAACCCAAGGGACAAATAATAATATTATAATTGATCAACTTTTGTATACGCAGGTTTTTATAAGCTGGGGAAGAAAGTTCATCATTCAGAAATAATTATAAAAAAAAGTAAACCGATCATTGAATAGGAAACATTTTGTTTTTCTATGTTTTTAATGAGTGTAATATTTTCTCGACACTGTCTATGATGCATGTGGTAAACACCGTATACCCATCTCTTCTGACATCGAGTTAACTATTGTAAACTAATGATACCCTGTTGGTAATCTATAACTTTTCATACTTTTTTTTATCTAGTCCATCCCTATTTAAATCTCCTCCAGTTAGACTGAAGCGATCTGATAAACGGTAAGAAAAATTGAGACAGATTAGTATTGTTATTTTTCTTTTTTGTGAAAAAATGTAGATAAAAAAAGGAAATTTTCAGTATGAATGATTGAAAGTAATAATTTCCCTATAAATTTCCTCCATAAACTGCATAAAATGAACAAACCTAAATACAAAGGACAAAAAAATTAAAATTCATCCATTTCATCAACTAATCACCATCAATGGGAGAAACTTGAAGAAAGTAGTCTCTCTCACCCATCTAGGCAAGGCAGCACTATTTCAAATACAAGGCGGCACAGACAGTTCACGACGTTGAAGCCAGGATCGGAAAGACAGCAAGACAGGCGTCCATTAACCCGAAACCGGTGTGGAAACCTTCTGCACTGCACTGCACTGCACTGCACTCAGCATAAAGCGTCAACAACATCTGGATTTCCAACACCAACGTCAGTCAAGTCAGTCAGTGCTTCCATCTCATGGTTGAGAGACGAAAGGCATTTCCAACAAACTACAGATATTCATCAACAACTGCCTACATCGAGTCGTTACTCAAGCTCAGATGGATTGCCAGGAAGAATGAGTAACAAGGAACTCTGGCTGGCTGGCTGGCTGGTTGTCAATGAACCAACGAATCAAGAATCTATCACTCAACAAATATGCACTGGAAGGAAGTGGAGATGGATTGGGCATGTACTGAGAAGACGGTTTTGGGACATGACGTAGCAGGTCAGGCCAGGCCAGGCCAGGCCAGGCCAGGCCAGGCCAGGCGGGGCCAGTAGGTGTAGTGGAAGGCAGATGTGAAACGACGACGATGAGTCGGGTGTCGGAGTTGAGGGTGACATGGAGGATATTGTGTGAGGAAGAAATGAGAGTTTGTGGGTAGTGTTGGAGTCAGGTTGAATAGACTGGAGAGAAGAGAGTGTAATGGAGACGTGTTACTGCAGCCGTATGTTCGACTATGAATTCAAAGGACAAATAATAATAACAGTATATATATATTCCTGGTTGATGGATGATTGGAGGTGAAATGAAAATCTGGGCCATGAAGGGACTCGAACCAGCGGCCTCTGAGTCACCTGCTCAATATTCTATCAATCAAGCTATGAGACTTATCTGGTTACGGGATATTAACTTCATCTTCAGTCATCACCCAGTATCAATACAAGACCATTAAACCACAGGCATCTCAAATTTATATGTCCTGTTGTGAGAACCATAAAAGTGGAATTTTACGACTATGATTTCTATGCCTAAGAGCTTGGCATTTTCAAACGAACTAATCGTTCTGTATCTCCAATTCAAAATATGCTCTATATAGACATCCGTACATCGATGTTAAGAAAGATTAGTTGTGTTTTTAATTGAATATGCGGATTACACTTTTGTTTTGTATATCGTGGTAGCTGAGGTTGTTGAGTGGAATCCAAAGGGGAAATGACGAGTTGGGTGTTCGAGGTGAGGGTGACATGTAGGAGATTATGGGAGGAAGAAATGAAAGCTTGTGGGCAGTCGTAGTGCCATATCCAAAAGACTGCACAAAAAGAGTGTAATGGAGGCGTGCTACTGAAGCCGTATGTTCCACTAGGAACCCAAGGGAAAAGCAATAACAATAATATTGTGGTAGCATAGCGATATACCTTTATTTGAAACGTGACGTAAGTGTTTTGAAGCGAAATTCATTAGCAAATCTCTTTTGGTATTGAAGCGTATTCAGACATATTTTTAACTTTAGTAAAGTTATTTAAGAATGAAGAGACAGCATTTCCGCATTCGAAGTTCGTCATCAGGACCACTTCAAATAATAGTTCATTGTAAGCCTTGACAAGACCACAAGTATTTGGCACAAACAATACCTCATGTGTTTCAGGATATGAAGACGTTTCCATCTTTTCTCACTCACTCACTCACTTACCCTCAAAACTCGGAACCTGATTTATTCATCTAAGTTTCATATATGTTATTCTCTGAATAAACTTACAAATATCCTCAATATTGTATTTTTTAACCTCTTTGAGGAGTGATTACAATAGTTGTAAGATCTGTTGCATAATCAACTGGTACAAGGAGTTTGAAATGTTAACAACTGGTCAGAAAGATGATCCATTTTTATGCACTTCTGAGAAAGCATACAACCTCCTGTCTACTATACTAGTGGATCTGAGTGCCTCATGGATAACGTGAATTGGAACCTTCTTGTTTAAACATTTTAATGACACTGTTAGGTGCATCTTAGCTTTTTTTGACAGATCTGTATTAATGAATGAATTCTTAAATCTACTACAGTCACTTAGTAGACTCTTCTTGCTATTGTATTTCACTTTTCTGACAGGTAACCATCATTCTACTCTTATAAAATCTATTGACCACGTAATTTTGATCCGTTCAAAGTTTACGTAAAGCTTTTCTATCACCTAGTCTCTTAAGTAAGCAATTAATAGCAAATTATCGAGACTGAAGACAGGGTAAAGTAAATAACATCATGTAATATTTTGACTAAGATGGTGATAATGCGTGTATGCATCTCCGCTACTGTGGTCAAATCTCAGCAATATCACCTAGAGTCTAAATTCCCCAACTTCGTGGACTGATGTTATATTTCTTAGTCTGACCATCTTTAACGGTCTGCTAACTTAATCATGCCTCAACTAACACTGTACACAGGAATAGACAGTAACTAGATATGCACGACACATGTTGCAGTGACTTCAATCGTCAAAGTTTCACAATTTCATGAAATGATGTGATGTTTACCCGACCGCACAACCATCTCTGCGAAGGTGACGGTGATAGAACATGTGAAACTTTCGGATATTCTTTACCTTTAGTGTGCATGTTTGACAGTTGTATAATAGGACAGAGTGATTTGCTGGATGGTACTGTCTACTATTAGAAGGGTGGGTGGGTATTTCGCCAGCTCCACAAGCGGTGTACGACAGCGAAAGTCAATTGATGCGTTTTTTTACCCATATTGAGAGTTCGTCGACTTTCCACGTAAGTGAGGCTGTCAGGAAGCTAAGTCATTTACCTCGCTAATGTTAGAAAGTGTATTGTGATAAACAAAATTCATGCATTCCTGTACAAGTTTCTACATTAATGCATATATTTATCTCTATTTCATCTTAAATTATCTTGCATATGAAGTACCATTCATTAAAGGGCATTGCTATGAGACCTATCGATCGATAGAGTCGAACACCGCCTCGTTTTTAGGGGCTCATAGGTGTGCCTGTATTCCAGATCACTATCGATAATTAATCAAATTTTTGTAATTATACAGTTTAAAGCTGTACAGTAGCTTGCTAAACTGTTCTAAGTCAATAATGCAAAGATTAAGCTTATGGATATTCGATTTATTTCTATATACACTATACACTTGATTTATCCATTCATTAGTATAAGATGTCACGTTTATTGTTTTCATTTTGTTAACAGTTCACGTGGTGCGACTCAGAAGGATTCTAGCCATGTGTTTCCTGAATCTAAAGGACTTATACCAAAGTAAACAGTATTCAGCATTCTCATTTACTAGGCAGACAATGAACAGTGAAAGCCGTTAAGGTATCCTGAAATCCTTTTTATCATTCAGTGTTATTTTGGAAGGTTAAGTTTCATTGACAAATTAGAAACTGTTGTATGTTTTTGGAAAAGAGTTTTTTTCCTTAAAGTGCTTAATTCAATAGCTTATCTCATTATTTTCATGATTCATAAGTTCTTTGCTTAAGAAAATCTATGCTTTAACTGTTAAAAAATTATTTACTCATTAAGATTTTTGAAATAAACTTTGTAACATTTTCGGTTTTCAGTAATTCCCTAAAATATTAGTAGTTTACTGTGGAGAAACAACTTTTGTAAATTCTTTGGCAAGTTATCTCATTCAAATAGTGAAAGTCAAAACTTTACAAGTACATCATAATAAAAGAAACAGATAACAGCGAAGAAAATGTTCTATTCTGAGGAGTTCATTTACTGAAGCTCTACAATTGTATATAAAACCAGTGACAACAAAAAAATAAACGTAGTCTACTGTTAATCAGTAGGAATATATGATTATTATAATGTTCAGGTGTAGATTAAACATTTTCTTAAAAAAACTCAAGATGATTACTACTTTGGTCATAATAAGGTTAATGAATTCACATAATGTTTTTGAATAGAAGAATCAGGTTTAATGTCGTGAATTCTTATTGATGATGCAATCGAAAGCTTTTGGGAATGATCGAGGGGTATTCTGTAAATTCTAAAAGAAGATAATTTTAGTTAAGAGGATTCTTTTCAACGAAATTATTCCCAAGCTGTACATTCGTGTATATATATATATGATATTTAAAGACTGTAATCCATGATAGTAATGATGGTTATAACAATAAGGTAGCTAGTTGATGACCTAAAGGTTGAATGATAACAAAAAGGGTTACTTAAGATTTTTAAATCTTTTATAAGGTGCAAAAAGGGGGGTGAAAACATAATAGAGTTAATAAACAATCCAAGGATTAGGTCAAATGAAACAACACCGGAAACAATTAAATACAAAAATAAAGTGGTAATGACGACATAAGAGTACAGAGATTAATCAGACAAAGGAGGAAGTTGAAAAAATAAAAAAAGGACAAAACACACCAGGACCAAAATAAGTTAAGGCCAAGGTAGAGACAAAGGCTGTACATACATATATGTTAGGCTTCAGTTTATGGATAGCCAAGGCGTCTTTTATTCTTAAAAGATGAACACGGAGGAAAGGTGAGATGTTTGAGCGAGCTCCATAGATAACTATAAAATCATGTTAATGATGGATTGTGGCTAGCAGTGGAATCCAGGATGGACATTTCGTTCTATTTGGGACTCGTCAGCTCGATGTACCTGCCTCTCAGTGAGTGACAGGCAATATCGAGGCATCCACACAGGAGCCTATATGCCAACAGAGACTAATCAATTCAGTCCAATCAATGACGGTGTAATACAAGCAATAACACTAAACTATAAAAATCATTGTTTGGGTCAGCTGGATGGTTGGAATCGATTAAATGTTCAAGTATGCATTTCCTTTCACCTTTATGAAAACATTAATTGATTAATTAATTGAAACCACATTTAGAAAATGGACAGCAATCGGACCTCGTACCTCAGTTGGTGGAGCATTGGGCCGAAAACACAGTGGTCGCTGGTTTGAATCCGGCCGCGGTCCAAATATTTATTTCAACTCAAGTCATCACCCAGTATAAACACTAGTCTACCAAACTATAGCTATATCAGATAATCAAATGATATTTAATCAGTTATAATGCTTTACATTTATATATGTATATGATATTGTCAGACTCCAATCCTTGAAGAAAATTAAACTTAACTAATGTGAGAATGAAATAACAATAATGTGGTTATAATTTTAATTGGCTTGGTTATACCCAGCAGTGGAATCCAGGACTGGGGATGTAGGTACATCCAGCTGATGAGTCGCAAATAGGACGAAACGTGCGGGCTGGATTCCATTGCTAACCACAATGAAGTCGATTAAAACAATTAATATTCAAGCAATATCGAGGCATCCTCAAAGGACCCCATCTGCCAACATATGTCGGTCAATTCGATCCAGTATTATAACGGAGAATTACAAGTACCAACAAATAATAATGGTGATTACAGTTATGATAATGCTGCTAATTGATAAAGTACTAGTGGAATGATAAAAGAAGGGTTATATAAGATTTTTTTAAGCTATTCATAGGGTTCACATGGGTTACAGAGGAATGGAAACATGATACAGTTAATAAACTATCAAAAGATTAGGTAATAGGAATGAGACAAGTGAAATGAAATAGCTTCAAAATGCATTTTGATTAAAAGTTGCAGTTATTAGGAAGAATAAGTGAAATAACACCAGAAACTTTTAAATGCAAAAGTAGTACTGATACTGATGATCTTAGAGAACAAAAGTTGATCTAACAAATACAAAAAAGGAACTAAATAAACTCAGATTAAATTAAGGTGAAGGTAGAAACGAAGATTGTACGTACTTCTTTTGCAAATCCACGTCAGTCTTCAGTTCATAAATAGCCAGGACATCTGTTATTTCTAGAAGTTGAAGATGGGGTAAACGTGAAAAGTTTGGATGAATTCAATAGATAACTTTAAAATCATTGTTCCCATCAGTTGAATGGATAGAACTACTAATGTATTTTCGTTCACCCTTATAAAATCAGGTTGGAACACGTTCTCGTATATATGTTGACACCTTGTCAAACTCCTTAAGAAAGGTGACCTAAGTCTTTGCAAGAACTGGCGCGGAATCACGCTCCACCGTTGTCCACTTCAAGCAAAATGTTAGGCCACATCATTCTGGAGAGACTTAAAAATGTTCCGGATTCAAAATTACCACCTGAACAGGCTGGCTGACTTCAGAAAAAACAAATGGTGTATGGATCAAACTGCAAAACTACGCTACGCATCATCATAGAACACAGCAAAGAATAACAGAATGACAACTCTTTACCTCAACTTCACTGACTTTGAAAAGGCCTTCGACAGCATCGATCGAGAAGTAATTTAGCGGCCAGCTACTTAAACACTACGGAATGTCACAAACCTTGTCAGCCTCATTCAACAGCAGCTATATACTAATTATTCTACATGCCAAGAGATTCATAATGGAAAGCTCAGTGACGCCTTCGAAGTGGAGACAAGAGTAAGACAAGCCTGGCACCTACTAACACCCATGATATTCCTGATTGTAATCTAGTTGACTAGATCATGCAACAAACTGTGAAGAGCCAGAAGATGGACATACGCTGTTTGACCGATGAAAAGAACCTACACAATTTCGATTTCGCCAGTGATGACTTGTGTCTAATGTCACACAAACTTGAAGATGTACAGGCGGAAACTAACAAGTTGACAGAAGAGACAGGGCATCCAAAGAAGACGGCACCTCCTTCAAGTGAACGTGGAGAAGATAGAGGTGATGAAGATACCAAAGCAAAACCACCGCCAATAACAACAGAAACCAGCGAAAATCAATATCAATCAGGGAAATCTGAAGAAAGTTGTCTCTTTCACCAACCTATCTACCTACCTACCTAGGCAGCATCTTTTCAATTACAGACAGCACAGGCACACGTGAGGATGTCAAAGCCAGCCAGTATCGGAAAGACTGCAAGACTAGCCTTCCTTCATTGATCTGAAATGATCAGTGTGGAGATCTACTGAACTGCACTGCACTGCACTGCACTGCACTCAGCATAAAGCGTGAACAAGATCTGGATTTTCAACACTAATGTCAGTCAAGTCAGTCAGTGCTCCCATTTGATGGTCGAGAGACTTGGCGCGTTACGAAAAGCATTTCCAACAAACTACAGACATACATCAACAGCCGACACTTACGCTCACTCCATACTGAAGATCAGATCAGATGACCAGAGAGAATGAGCAACAAGGAACTCTGGCTGGCTGGCTGGCTGGCTGTCAATGAACCAACGAAGCAAGAACCCATCACCCAACGAATATACAGAAGATAGTGAGATGGATCGGGTACATACTGATAAGATGGTTTGTGGACATCACGCAGCAGACCAGGTTATGCCGTCGAGTGGAAGCCAAATGGGAAATGACGAGTTGGGTGTCCGAGTTGAGGGTGACATGGAGGAGATTGTGTGAGGAAGAAATGAGAGTTTGTGGGTAGTGGTGGAGTCAGGTTGAAAGGACTGAGGAGAAGAGAGTGAAATGGTGATGTGTTACTAAAGCTTTATGATGGTGATTGGAGCTTGTTGTTGTTGTTGGTTGGGTATCTTCATCACCTATATCTTCTCTACGTTCACTTGAAGGAGGTGCCGTCTTCCTTGGCTGCCCTCTCTCTTCTGTCAACTTGTTAGTTTTCGCCTGTACATCTTCAAGTTTGTGTGACATTAGACACAAGTCATCACTCGCGAAATCCAAATCTTCTAGAATGTTTTCCCCAGTCCAGCCAGTGTATCCCCATCTTCTCGCTCCACACTCTTTGTTGCATGATCCAGTCCAGTCCACTACAATCACGAATATCATGGGTGATAGTAGACAGCCTTGTTTCACTCCTGCTTGTCTTCACTTCGAAGGCGTCAGTGAGCTTCCCATTGTGAATTACTTGTCATGTGGCGTCTTCATATATTTGTTGAATGAGGTTGATAAAGGTTTAGTGGTATTCCGTATTGTTGAAGCAACTTCCAAATTACCTCTCAATCGACGCTATTGAAGGTCTTTTCGAAGTCGATGAAGTTGAGGTGAGGTAGAGGTTTAACTGCCATTCTATACTCTGTTCTATGATGATGCGTAGCGTAGCGTTGCAATTTGGTCCGCATATGATTTGTACTTTTTGAATCCAGCCAACATGCTTGTTCCGGTCGTAGTTTTGAATCCATCCTTTGGTCTCTCTAGGATGATGCGGTTTAATATTTTGCTTGGGGTGGACAACGGTGGAGCATGATTTCTCGCCATTTCTTCCAAAGACAGGTCGTTGTTATTCCGGAGTTTGACAAG